ATTTTACCCACCTCGGAAGGATGGAAGGCTGAGTCAACCCTGAGCCGGTGAGATTTGAACCGCTGACCTGCTGATCTAGCAGTAGCCTGCAGTGCTGCTTTTAACCACTGCGCCACCTTGGCTCTAAATCACATTCACAAGTCAGTTCTACAGAAGCAGATCTCACAATAATAAACTGACTTTACAGTAACTATTTGAACTTTCTGTCTTACTTAATGTATCACAAAACTATTCCTTTATTTTAATTTTACCATTTTAAAAAGGAGGCAGTAGAGGAAAGGCAATGAAATCAATAAAGCGACTCAAAATGCCAAGATCACTGAAGACATTGTTCTGACAAAAGTCAGTTGTTTCTAATGGACCATTCATTTACAACAAATTTTGGCCAATCCGGGCAGTGCTTGATTATTTTCTTTTGGCAGTGAGTTTTTGGCTCTGCTTTTGTAGATAATTTTAAAATGTTAACTGATTACCATCAGTTTAATAATGAGAAAGAGGAAAGGAATGGGGAGACAATAGCCTTTAGCTTAAAATATGAGCCAGAGTATCTATTCTCCACCAAATTCACGAGTAGAGTCTGTTTTCATTTGCAGGCAAATGTTGACCTGTTCTAGATTATATATTCTCTGAACCTTGCATTGTCCCAATAGAATGACAACTTATATTCAAGAAATCTCATTTTGTTTTCTTTAAAGCTAAACCTGCACCCACCAAAAACCATTCCACTAATGGAACAGGTTTAGATGTTTCAAAATGAGTCAGAAAAATCTCATCCCGATACATAAAGTTTTCAACCAAAGATGCATGTGAGATAAGTTATTATGTCAACTTCCTGAAGCAATTCCAATTAACCCATGATATAACACAGTGGTCTGGTTTTTAACTCTGATTTATTGAACAAGCGTATTATTGTTTGTACATAAGTTTAAAGTAAAGAATGGGTTGCACACCAACTACAGGCATCAATTGTGTTGACCTCATAGTGTCTAATGCAGAAAGGAAATTATGATCTCAACTCCTAATTTTCTGCAGATATTGTCACACATCAAGCATTTAAAGTCTAGAGTATTATCAGACAATGCTTATTTTTCTGCTGTTGCAATGCTCGCTATCTTGGAGGCTTTGGAGCATTTGCAAAAAAAGGCTTATGGTGGTTATCTGAAATGAACTATGAAGTTATTCTAGCCATACTAATTTATCCTGGAGATTTGGGAAATTATTACAGGATGCGAACAGTATTGTCAGCTCAGAATAATCTCCAACATAATAGTTTCCTTACTGCTTCAAAATAACTTCTATCCCTATCAGCTTCATGGAATGGTTTGCTGCAGTCCTATTCATAGTCCTGTATAAACAAGGCTCAGTTCCCTCCAGCAAGTGTTATCCAAACGTTCAGGACCCGCCACACTTTCGTCCTATCCTTGTCTCCCTATCTCACAATATGTTCAGTTGAAAAGAATTAAACTGTATACTGTAAACATCACAGCAAGGGACAGACTGCATCACAGTTAATATACACACAACAAAGAGAAAGACTAAACAGCAGCTACAAATGTTCAACCAAAAATATGTAACCAAAAGCCTTCCAATCATATTTGGACTAAATGAGATAACAGTGCATTTAATAAGTCCTTATTTAATTTTCCAAAATAATTCCAAAGAAAGATATTTTTAGAAATTAAAATGATTCCACTTGGATCCACTGTTTTAATTACTAATATCACACTGGGAGAATTCTGCAGATTAATATAGAGGCTCCTGAGCTACCCATGTTTTTTTTTTAAAAGCCCAATCCTTCCCCCCCAACTCCCCCCCCCCACAAACCCAGGGGAATAGGAAAAGTCCTTAAAAGATTCTTTATTATAAATTTGCTTCAAAAGGATAAGCCCACCACAACTGGGCTAGAAAATTACAGACCACTAGTTACACTTTTCTGTACCCTCTTGCACCATATATAATAAACTGTGAAAGTTTATTGCAACAAGAGAAAAATGCACTTTAAAAGTTCACCAGATGTATGAAGTATTATTCTGTAGGAAAGAATATGTGCACATTCATTGTCCAGTGTTGTGTGGAAACAATAAATAATAAGGTCATAAGGAAATAAAATATTTAAGGTACAAATAGTGTTAATTGTCTTTTTTTCATTGTGACTGTTTACATAACAGTTGTTACTTATGACTAAAATGGTCTGGTATTTGTAAGCTAATGATAAGAACATTTTGTTTCATCAATGGCACATCTACTGATCATTTATGAATGTGCTGCTGTCCACAAAGTAATGGTGGATTATAGTCAACTAAAGCTTATCCCATACAAGGATGTACAAGATGGACTAAGACCTCTGGAGCATCACAAATAATTTAAAGGGATCTACTTAAAAAAATGCATCAGGCATAGCAGTGCAGTAATTTTCCAATTTGGCTGAGATTCATGTTGGCTGAGAGTTCTAGGAATTGCAGTCCTAATATATCAAGGTAATGGCAGCTTGGGTGCAGTCTCAAAAATCCTTGATTTCACAAGTACACAAAGAAGTTTTTTTTGTAGAGGAGGTAGATGAACAAAGTAGAAATGTAAACATAATAAAAATGTGTTATTATAGTCCCAATGGGAGTGGGTGGCATGCAAATTTCATTAAACATTAAACTCGTATTGCACATTTTGCTGGAAGTACAAACTTGGCAGTTATTAAAAAGTTTAGTCTATTCTGTCACTCTTGTAAGAAAGCAAAAGAAAAGTCAACCAACTTTTCATGGAAGAAATAGATACACATTATATGTCCTACTAGTTACAAATAAATTTAGAAAGATGATAAATCACCCTGTATTCAATTTATTGTATACAAGTATAAGATGTCAGGAACACTAAGGAAACAAGTTCACTAATTAGTAACATTTGGTTTCACCAGGGCTATTTTTATTATTCTGAGTCTGAAAGTTATTCACTTCTACTCTCACAGAGGTATAAAAGTTAAATTTTATATACTGGTTGAAAATTTCTTTACTGTAACTTACCATTTTTATTATTACCTTTAATAATATTTCATCAGCTATCAGGTCTGCTCCACTCATATCCCTGTGAACTGGTGATGGGAAAGGAAGAGGAGGACCCTCTGTATTTCTTTTCTCTCCCTGGCTGGGAGAAATGTACAGGGGTCTTTCATCAACTGCTGTCTACATAAATACTTGGATCAAGCATTAAAAGCTGGAGGGTGGAAGAGGGTTACCTATTTGCAGAAGCTTTTCAGGGCTTCCAGAGGTGGCTGTTATAACCTGCCTTAACCCAACTATCTAATTTGTACTGAAGACCAGCAGTCTCCAGAGTCAGAAAAAGACCTTCCTGACATTTTATGGAAGTAGGATCTTCCATATTTACTTGTCTCTGAGTTATGCTTCACAATGATACCATGGTTCCTATCAGATTGAATGATAATAATTAAAGAAGAATTGTGAGTGGAAACAAGCTCTCATTCGTAATTGATAAATAGCACTTCTGGAATCATAGCACCCTCTGTTAGGAATATTCCTGATTCCGACTAATCAAGATGCCCTTGCAATGCATAATCCAGGACAACCAGTTATTACATGCAGCTCATTGCTTAAAATTACAGCTGAACTATATTTATTTTCTTGAAACCACAGATAACATCAAGAGAGAAATGGGTAATCATATAAAAATGCCAACCAAGGAAGAACTTATGAATCATGTTACCTTTGAAAAACTGGAAAAGATAATTTGGGAATCTCAAGGTCAGATTCTGCAGTAAGGTAAATCTTTAGTTATTTCAATTCCAGCACTTATGATGTTCAAATGTTATGCTCAAATGCATTTCTGAATACATGTTTTAAAATGAACCTTAGTTTGAACAAGCTTTATTTTGCTCTCTACCTTCTATTAGCATATGAATGCTTATTCCAGACTAAAATAAGTTGATATGGTCTTCAAATTAACGAATAAAAAAAATACAGTATTGAACAAGAAATGTCTAAGCTTTTTCAGAAAATAGATGGTTCACTGCAAAGGAAATTTTCCACTGTTGCAAGAACAAAGCAGCTTCAAATTTACAGTAATGTTACTTTAAATGATGCTGCCACAGAAGACGAATTTAGGACACTATGTAATGTCAAATGTATATTAATAATGAAATTTGAAGATTAAATGTATTAGAAATATCTGTATCTTCAAATTATCTGACTAATATATGACTAACATGCAAAGAAACATGAGCCTGATGGATGGGGTCAGTCAGTATGTCACACATTTGGCTAATTCCTTTCTAAGATATACCAAAGGCAGATGACATGTGCCAGAATCCTATTCTCTGAAAGCTACTTTGAAATGGATTTCCACCAAATCCATTTGGATTGCCTCAAAAGATGGATCTACTAAATTTCTGTCTCTTTAACATATCCATTTATCCATAATGCCAAATTAAAAAGATTGCTCCTAAAAGCCAGAGAAAGCACCTGAAAGAAAATGTGAGATAAAGAGATTCATTAAAAACACTTCATATTTTGTATCTGCCAAACTCTCCTTGTGATGAAGTCATTCTAATCTGCTATTTAAAAGGGCCTTTTACAATCTTGAACAGGGTTTTTTAAAAGAAATGTGGCTGTTTCAGTGATAACCATAGCAGTACGCCTGTGATTGTCTGTTGAACAACTGAAAACACTCCAGCTACACTACATATGGAGAAGAGTTGATATATGTGCTTAGCAAGACAGGCTCTCCAATAAGACTAATATGTTGTTTAAAGTCTACAGAGTCCTTTTAGAAAAAAGCATCTGACACAAACAAAAAGTTCCACCTTTGTGCAACTGAGCACTAGCCTTTCACGGTCTGTTCCCTTTCTTATTAACACTTCCAGTTCCTCAGTACTCAGGAGCACATATCCCTGGGTTTTGTCTAAAATGTTGTATATATTCTTGCTATATATATTTACAAGACTTGAAATAAGGGAGGACAATCCGGACTTTGTGAATTCTATGCAGCACTGCAATCCTTTTTCTGTGGTCCATAGATGGCATATTTGTAAAAAAAAAAAAATATAGAGTAAACAATGATAAAAATCTATGCTTTAAGTCAGTGGTCCCCAACCCCCGGTCCATGGACCGGTACCGGTCCATGGATCAAATGGTACCGGGCCACCCAAGGAACATTAAATTATTTCCATTTTATTTACTGTGGTGTATTTCTCTCACATTTGTTCGACTTTCCATGGACAAGAGGTTAACCGGGAGCTGAGAGACGTCACCTAAAGCTGCACCAATACTGCACATGCACAAAATATCGTGATATCGGGGCACTCTTCTCTCTGTTCACTGGTACTTTCTCATGTTTAACAGTGCTTGGTGATGTGTATATTATGTTTGCTCCAATTTAATTAGCAAAAATGAGTACGAAACAGACATCGTTAGAAAGTTTCCTTGGAAAAAAGAAAAGGCCCAGTGAAGAGACAGAAGAAGAGCCTTCAACATCAAAGAAACATAAAACTTTTAACAGACAATACCATGAGTCCTACTTGAAATATGGATTTATCGGGACAGGTGATTCCCACACACCAACCCCGCTCTGCATAGTTTGCGGCGACCAGCTCTCTAATGAGGCAATGAAACCTTCAAAACTGCTTCGCCACTTGANGGTAATGAGTGGCGCAGCCAGCGCCTAGGACATCCTAGGAGACCAGCTGTGCCGCGTAAGCTCCTGCCGCCATCCCCGCGCCCATGCTAACCCTAGATTTTCTGAGGCCCCTGCGCGGCAGTTAGAAACTGCTGCGTGGGGTTTTCTTGCCATGTGCGCGGCCGCGTAGCCATGCACCTTATAGGGAACAGTGTGGCCTAGAGATGAAGCTCTCGCCTCACCACCAGGAGGCTATGAGTTCAATCCTAATAGAAGCAGATATTTCTCTCTCTGGGCACAATGAGAATATATCTGCTGTGAACTCTGCATTGGTGATAGGAAGGGCATCCAGCCAGTAAACACTCAGCTCCATTCAGTTGCCCCAATTCCATCCTGCAAGGGATCACAGGGTCATTAAAAGACAAAAACATTTAGTGTCTAAATCAGTGGTGGGATTCAGGCAGTTCGCACCACTTCGGGAGAGCCGGTTGTTCTCCCACAAAGAAAACAATAATATGGATTTTCAGTCTTACAAGATAATGAAATATTCAGAACTGGAAGGCATGCAGCTTGATGCTATGGGAGCAATACTCACCACTGATTGAGCTGCCAAGTGGGCCAGAACCAGATAAACATAGGACAGGATCAGAACCCTCGTTGCAAAGAATGGAAGATGAATTGGGAGATGAGGTGGGTGAGCTTGGTGCTGATGGCCCCAGGTGTTCAGCCATGAAAGTAGAACCTGTAAAAGAGAGTAATATAATTTAGCAGTTCAAATAGCCCTATTCTGCTATAATTGGAGCATATGTGTGTTCACATCCTCATTATACTAGAAAGTTTGTTGATTGTCTTTGAGTCAGTCCTAGTGCTATAATTCACTTGGATAAAACAGAAAAAATATGACTTTTTTATAATTAAAAAAAGGAGTTTGGGAAGTTTTGTAATAAAATAAGTAAGAAATGAATTCATGAAATTGATAGGAAACAATACTGGATTTAGAACAAAGGGTTCCAAAACACTGGCCTGATTATTCTGGAAGCAGATAATATATAAGTATATGGTAGGTAGGTGAATAGTTTACTCCACTCTCATCTCTGCTCTTACTATTTGTCTTTTCCTTTGATTAAAGAGAACCTTGGAATATTAACAGAGTATGCTTAAAATATGTGAAATGAGAACAAAAATAGGCAGGTGTGTGTATGAAAAAGGGAGAGGGAGAGGGAGAGGGAGGGAGAAAATGAGAGAGAAAACAGCCTGTATCCAATATCTGGATTTTATGTCCTTTTGGTCTATATCACCTTATTTCTGTTTACATAGTGTATTTATATAACCTTTAGCTACTTTCACATCCTAACATTCAATGAACAGAATAACAAATGGCAAAATGTTATTCATCAATAAAGTATATGGTTAGCATAGTTTAATATGCTAACCATATACTTTATTGATGAATAACGTTTTGAGTTTAATCTCAAATTCAGCCTGTTAAGTCTCCAGTCAAAAATACCCTGCTCGTAGTCAATAGGAATGTTTTCTGCCAATCTTGCCACACTATGTCTAACTTTCTTCTAGTTTTTGACTTTGTGCAAGTCAGACAATTCATCACTTTTCAACTGGAATTCCATTAGTAACAACTGGAGCAAAGATTAGAGAGCTGGAGGCCTATCTTCCCAATTAAAAGTGCATACCTACCATTACATGGGAAAGTCAACTACACGTTTGAAAACAGACAGGTACAAACACAGCCTGGGCAAGATTCCAAAGGGTTAACTCTGTATTTACTAAAACAACATCACACCATCTATGTTATCTATAATCTATATTCATTGAATGTGAATGTCACTGTATCTTTAAAAAAAATCATTCCTTCTGATCACAATGCTTATACTTCGCCCTTCACAAAATGATTTGCAATTGTTTTTCTTTCTGTGAATCTCTTAATAATATATAAGGGCAGCATGGGGAATTAGTCTAGCAAATCTAAACACTAATGTGGAACTTACAGTTTCAGTTATATTCCATAATGTCTTTTATCAATCAGTAAATACTTAAATATTCAATAGCAGTAGCAATAGCAGTAGACTTATATACCGCTTCATAGGCCTTTCAGGCCTCTCTAAGCGGTTTACAGAGAGTCAGCATATTGCCC